AGCGCAGGATTAAGGAGTTCTCACAAGACGCAGGCTGGGCAAGGACAACGCTGTTGGCCCTGTAACGAAGTACACAGCCCCAGCTCATGGAAGTTCGCGACAGCAACGGGCCACTACTGCCGGAAGCGAGGCTATATAAAAAAAAAAACAAAAAAAAACTGCATTTAAAAGAAAAAAAGGCTACAAAGAAAGGACCACAACGCAACAACTACTTAGGCACACCAAGAGGGCCGCGACCTCCTGAACAACAAATGTCAACATTACATGACTTTCACTCGATAACGTTTTTAAAGGAGCTGTGCAACGATATTCAATTGGAATGTTTTTCTCTCTACACGAGCTTACTGGCACACCTGGGACTCAAGGATACTCACACGCAACGCCATTGGCCAAGAAACTCCTTTGTTGCGGGGTAATTTCAAGGACAAAAGCCATCATTTTCATTCAATCTCTCCTTTGCAAACTTTGATGACGTAACTCGGGGATCGCAGTACACCCAAGTGACGATATTTGAAGGCGGTTCATAGATTGGACCCGAGCATTGCGTGGGCACTCGACTTGGGCTCGTGACAATTGCTAGCTCGAGAAGCATTCGGGTAGTGGCCCGTGTCCAATCGCTGCAACGACGACAACAGCCGAGCCATAACAATGTCTGGAACTCAGCGCGTGTCCTGCGCTTGGCCAACCCCAGCGCGTGGCTATGATCAACACTGGCGGCATATAATCGGCTCCAGATCACGTGGCCGCTTGTTCTGGCTGCGAGTTGAGAGGGTGAACGCTGCTCGTTTTTCTCAAATTTTTTTCTGGGACTTCTTTTGCGTGGGGTGAAAAACGAACGCGTGTTTCATGGGTCATTAACGTTAGGGATCCGTTTTGAGCGGTATTTGTGCACAGTACAAAAATTGTTGCACAGCTCCTTTAAGGATCATCTTTCTTGTGTTTCCCATGATTTCAATGTGGTACTGGGGAATTGGGGTAGCTCTTGCTTGTAGAATGCACACTTCATTGGCATCTACAGGACTTCAAGTTGGTGTCAGACATAATGCACAAGCTGATGGATTCTTTAGCATACAAGGTGAGCCAAACTTGCAGCATGTAACACACTCGTGCATCCTTATCTTAAGTATGCATCTGAAGTCGGATACCTGCAGACCCGTCTCGTCAAGCAGCTCAATATTTAATTCCTTTTGGTTTGTACAATTTATTGTCTACAGATGTACCGTACCAGTAACATCATTAGAAGGTGTAAGGGCTTCATAAGTATTTTATGATATTTAAAAATGACTGCACCTGTCAGTAAAGCTACCCGCACATTTGTGAAGTGTCAAGAAAGCATTTTGATTGTGTATGGTGTGTCTGCGTGTCATTTATCTTTTTTTTCATTTTGTGATATCTTTTTTGTTATGTACTCATCCTGTGTTCTACTTGTAGTGAATGCTCCTGCCGCGGCCTTTTACTTGGCTGGCAGTTTTGTGAAATAAATAAAATTGTGACCTTGATTTTGTTCTTTTTTAACATAATTTCTGTGCTTGTGTATATTCATGGAGATTTTGATCTCGCATTCGCTTATTTTGCATTGTTCTTTGGGTGTGATTTGAATTATTTTTGCCTCATTCCCTTTTACTGAAATAACCAGCAATTGCTTGACTCGAGAACTAGGTGCTGCAACCGAGCGCTAGTTTCCAAGTCTGCACCAGGACGCTGGCCCAGGAGTCTAAAAGCAGCGTAAATCGCAATTAAACCTGAATTTTTTTTAGTACAAACGAATAACAGAAAAGATACAGACACTCTGATAAAATTACAAAGTAACAAAACTAAACGAAAACGGAGTTTTCATTTCTAAAAACGGTTTCATCAAATAAAATAACGAAAATTATACCCTCGGAAAAGTAGCGGCACTGCGTAGCCCCGTAGCGAAAGGCCCGCGGTGTCGCAAATTTTTACAGCATGCACAGAAATACGTAGCGATTTTTATCATTACTAGTACTGCAGGCAGCTTAAAAGTGCCAGCTTAGCGTCAACCACATCAACACTTCCCCGACTAGAAAGAAAATAGTATGCTGTTTTCTAGGCCGCCAAATTGTTTTTAACACCCGTAGGCCAAGACCTCCCGAAAGCTCGCCAAGGACACGTATTAAAGAGTAGTCAATCATTTGAAATCGTGGAGAATAAAATTGCAATTTGGCGGTTTTATATGATGATTCAAAACGACTTGCAATTCCTGTGAAGCCGAACACTAGCAAGGCATTGACCTAATGCAACTCGGTAGGGACGATTATCCAAAGTACTTTCGGGATGCAAGGTTGGACGAACAGATCTATAGAGTGGCTTCAGGACGGTCAGATACGAATGCGGGCTCTAAATGAGGTCATTGCCACACTTGTATGACAAGTTCACACGATCGGCACCTCGCCCGCTTCCGCTGACGGAGACGTCGAGACGCTGGGGAAATTCCAGAGGGCGCCTCCGTCGCAAACCGGAAGTTAGAGGTGGGGTAAGAAGGGTTTTTAAAGGAGAAGGAAAGAGAATGCGCCACTTTTCCCAGATACAGGGACTTTATGCTAAATTAGAGTTCCTGTATAGGCTCCCTACGGAGGTAGCTATACAGGAACTCTAAGCTAAATACGACAACAGCGCCACTCTTTATCTTTTGTCTTCACTGTGGTCACTTTGAGCTCTGAGAAAGCATGTTTTTGCGTAAGAACAACAGAGAAAACTCTTTTTGTGGTAACTTTTATCAGATTTTAGAACAAAATAAAGGGCGCGTGATGTTTTCTGAATTCTTTAGATTGCAAGGCTTGGCGGCACAATTAATATTGTTTTTATACGACCATGTCTCAACAGTGATTTCAGGTAGCGCGTCCCGACCTAGGCGCATCCTAACTTCGGTAGTAATTCGCGACGCGTCTGCTTGCGAGACGGGGGTGGCGCCCGTGAAACCCCATCCACCGTGTCTGTTTCGGCGCCAAAATGGCCGATTAAAGCCAAAATAGAAATCGCGTGCAGTTCCTCGAGTGACCACTGCGGAAGAAATGGCGGAGTTGGGATCGCCATTAGCTCGGTTCTCGAGTACGGATCGGTGCCACTTTTTCAGAGCAGGCTCTATGGCAGTTTCCCAACTGAGTGGTTTCAGTAACGTTGGGCTAAGGCGAAACGACTTTATGTCAGTGTTGCCTGCGCGCCTTCCAAGTCCTCCAAGTAGTTAACATGTTTGCAAAATATGGCATTTTTATGAAACTGAATACCATGTACGTTTTACTACACCATCGAAGAACATAGGCGGAGAGCCGCGCTGAGCAGGCTTCCAGTACAAGAGAGTGGCAGACAATTTCAGGCTGATATGGGGCGCGAGAGTCGCACCAGCCGCATCAGCATCAGCAACATGACGGCGGCTTAGGAGTGTTTTTTGGAAAGTAGTTGGACGGCATAAAATAACCCTACGATGTTGCCTTCGCCTGCACTGCAGCATTCCTATACTCCGTATCACCTTGTACCGCAGGAAAGGCTACAAGCACGAGCTCCTTGCTCTAGGGCGCATCTCGGCGGCACAAGCTCACGTGCACCAAGGGCAGCTGCCAACGCTATGAGCTCGCGCTTCTAGCCTTCGCTGCGGTACAACATAAGGTGAAACGAAGTATAGTGCTTGCCCTTTCTCCCCTCGCCTGTTGCCTTCGTATATACTGTACGCAACTGGTAACACGGAGTATAATGAGATCGCCGTCCGCTGCGTTCCTTATAAACCCGATTCTGCCTATGACGGTTTGATTTACAAACAACTGCATATTTCCAGGTGACTTCTATATAAGTTCTGAAGACACGTAATCCGGAAAACTCGGGGATACACCAAACGAAGGAGTGCGCGTCGTTGAAAATCACACGCGCAATTTAATCTTGCCTTTGTGCTCAGCTGAATTATTGATTTTTTTTTTCTCTCGTCACTGTTCGCTATAGGAACATTTAGCCGGAAATGCCAATATACGCAGAGGTTATCCCAGTGATTTAGATGACAATCTTCATCGTAGAATTGTTCGTCATAAACACCGGAATCCAGGAGCCCAGTTACACACAGCTGTGGCAGATCTGCTCGCAATTTGTTCACTTGCTCAATTAAGAAAAGTGGTCGAATAAAATATTACATCATCAACAAACAAGACAATATACGATAAAGCATAATAGTTTATGTTAAAACGCGGGCATTTTACAAACAATAGTAAATGCTGGAAACAAAAAACTTGCGTTTCGTGGAAGCTCTAATAAATCCCAAAAGTCCTTGCTTCCCGCCAAGTACTGAATTTCTTTTGTCACGACTGTCCAAAACCCCCGTGAGCTTCAAATCAAGAGGTATCCTCCGGTCTAAATCCTTCCAACACAGACTGCATGCAAGCAACACCTCACGAGGCAACAAGGCAGTAGCGATGAATTCTTTTCATCGCCAGTTTTCATCGTAGGTGGCGTCGAAAATTCAGCACTATGACCTTGTCATCTAGGAGGCCCCTGGTACAGGTACGGTGCCTGGAACGCGTATCCGACTGGTGTGTTTACCGCGTCCAAAAACGATGGTCCCTCGACTTCCATCTGATGACGTCATAGAAGTGTCACGGTGTCGCCGGCCGCGATCCTGGCGGCGTCACAGCAAGCGATGGTGGATGTGGCAGACGCCTGTTCTGCTGCAGGTCGCTTTCCAGGTTGACAGCCCACGGAAGCTTCGGCAGTCAGGAGTTGGAACCCCGCGACGACAGCGAAACTCGCGTCCGGTTGTGCTCTTCGACAGCACTTCTGCGACCAACCGCCAGGTTCGCGACAACCGACAACGTGACACTTTGTTTTTTTTTTGACGTCATTTGTCCCCCTTTCGGGACAACTTTTGATGCGTGAGCGGGATAAAACGCCAAAAACGCAATATGGAGACGCGTTCCAGGCACCATAATCTAAGTGCGTTTGAGAAGCACCGGCTCTGCTAGACTCGCCAAATAGAAATTTGGAGCCGAAAGTTCGCGAAAAACGTTAATCGGACTTCGACAAAAAAAAAAAAAAAAAAAAAAAAAAGGTATAATTGGCGTGTTTCGTAAACTTCGGCCGCGACCTTGTGTTTAATGATTTTAGCGCCCCTGAATAAGAGGACCACAGTACTGAATTTTTTTTGGCGTCGCTATAAAGAAAGCTAGCGCGGGACAGAGGCTGCGCACGAGTGCTTCGTCAGCGTTCGGCTGGGACTCGTGTTTGTACGCTGACGCAGTACTCGTGTCCAACCTGTCTTTAGATGACGCGGAAAGTTTGAATTCCATGGCCTCCTCTATACTCACAAAGCCTGGCAGTTCGACGGCGGCGCTATAGGGTACACGGTCGCAGATTTGGAGCGCGAGGAGCTGGTAGCACAGAGCATCAAAAACCAATTTCTCGGGGAACCTAATCGTCAGCGCACAGCTTTTGCAGCGGCGAAGACCCGAAACACACTTGTTCTCTCAGGAGAAGTGTGTTTCGGCGTCTCGCCGCAGCGGGGCGCCCTTGACCCGGCTTTCCTCTTATCCGTCGTCTGCCGCTCCACCTTTTCCATTTCGGCGGCCTCTTGTCGCGGCGATCTGCCAGGCTTTGTCAGTATATAGGAGGCTATGGTTCAGCACAGGGGCTTTGCTATCTACATCGGGCGTTGGTTCTAATCTGGAAAGATAGACGGGGTCTTCAAAGCGGTTTGGTCATCGCCGGCCGCCCAGCAGACTCAGGGGAGTCGGCCTCGGTTGCTGCCTATTCAGCCAAAATTGCCAGACGGGCGAACTGTACAGCTTCGGCCCCAACTTGCGCATGTGACTGTCCAACTCGGTGTTCTCGACTTCCGTCGATGTGGCCCTTGTGTTCACGACCAGGTCGTAACGATGTAGGCACGCCTCTTCGGGGTCGAACAAGTGGCGCTGCGCCTAAAACGGGAGTTCAGAAGGAATTATTAGAGTGAAGCCACATTAATTCCCGACACTTTCTAATACATGTGCTCCTTTACGGGCACTTCGAAACTGCGCTGGCGTTAAAAAAGAACGCCATTACACATATCTATCTGGCAAACATATCGTCCGAAGGTTCGAGAAGGTTTCTGATTATCCTACATCGGTGTAATGAACGCAGAACGAAATATATGTCGCTCCCCCAACCCGGCGCTCCGCAAGGTCGCTTCCCCGCAAACGCGTTAAACTGCTTTTTTTTTTTTTTTTTTTTTTGGGGGGGGGGGGGGGGGGGGTTTGGTAGGAGGCAGAGATAAAGCATTATTTGCATGATAACAAACCATCTTCAATTCAACAAAATGCCACACGACACTTCAACAAAGCAAAAGCAAAAGTAAACAACAGCACATTCACACGATAAGAGATAGTACAAATAAACGTCGGCTATTTGTAGCCGTGTTGCAACTAAAAGCAAAACAAAAGCCAAGATCTAGGATAGAATCATATAATATACCTCCGACACTATGCATGTGATCAACAGCAACACCTTCAGATAAAATTACAAAGGAAACATATGTCTTTGAAATTGGCCATGTATAGTGATTATGTTCTTGGTGCAGTACATCGGTCAACATAAAAATGCGATTTTGCTACTAACCAGGAACCCTCTGCAATCATTTTTAAGACTAGAAAACATTTTACTAAATTCAATGTTCGAATTCGTTCTATTTACAGTTTCAGTTGATTGAAAAGTTGACGTTTGTCAGCCACAGTCGGTTCTTGTGGCCGCTCTCCTTCGCCTTGGCTTTTTAATCGGGCATGCACACAGGCTGTCTCTTGGTGTGGTTAAAAGTCTATGTGTATGTATTCATTGTAAAAGTTAGAAGTAGTATACTTGCAGAATATTACTTCGGACTTTTGACGCATGTCACCCCTTCTCCGCCCATGAGTAGTTGGTGGCGAAAAGAAAAAAAAGGCGATACTCACGGCTCCGCCTTATTTAGTTACTTTAGCCGACGAGGCGCCCCCTGTCCACTGCCCTAGGGCCATACGGATTTAGCGACTCACATCGTGCAGGCTGAAGGCGACTCGGGAGCCGGCTTCCATGACCAGACGCGCCTTGACCAGGACTCTGGACGTAAGTCCTGGAGGCTCGACCAGGGAGCTCCGCAGCACGTTGGTCTGCGTGATTAACTCGGTCGCCGACGGACGCTGGCCGTAGAACGGGTAGCTGAGGAACGTCAGGGCGGTCGCTTTGGGCGCCGAGGCCAGCAAATCCTGAAGGGTGGCCACTCGGCGAAGGGACACGAACTCGTTCAGGGAGGCCGTCAGCACGTACTCGGTCGACGTCGGCACGTAGCGCAAGATGCAGTCGTTGATGAACGCACCGTCTGCCACCTCTGAAATCCTGGACGTGGGCAGGCCTCTCCAGATTCTGAAAAAAACAAAACAAACTTTTTTTTTTTTTTTTTTTTAACAAGCGTGTTTTGCCGTGAAAGCCTCACTGGAGCGCTTCCCGGAAACAGAAAGCGCTCTAGTGAGGGTCCCCCTGTTCTCCGGCTCAGCGGGCACGGCGGAGCTCCTCGCGAAAATGGCTCGCCAACAATCATTGCTGAATACAAACAACACTCTTCACTGTCCCAACTTAGTGCTGGAGCGGTATGTGATCGTACCTTACTAGAGAGTGATGTTCCTTTGCGTTAGAATTGCGTGTTCCTACTGCACAGGTGCGTTGCCATGCGCCAATTAAAGACGGCAATTTCAGGCTCCGTGCACTCGCACTGCGGACCAGGCAACGCTAACGCAAACGCAGGCAACGCTAACGCAGGCAACGCTAACGGGAACCTCCCGGTTTGTCGTCTGCTAGCGGAGTCGGGCGCGTGCCCTGTCTCTCGCTTTACCCCGCCGAACCCGCTGAATTTCCCCGATGTATGGAGAGGGCGCTGCTGTAGAACAAAATGCTGCCGCCCAGAGAGCGCTAAATGGAATGGTCTATAACCATTGCTAAAACTCATTACTGTTTCCCCGGTTTTCCAACGACAATGAAACGTATACTGCAATGAGGAGACGTGCAAGCGAGTGTGCGCTCCTTCGAACTGGACCGGTTCAGATTCATAAAACGGCGGCCAGTAAAATTAAAGAAAATAAATGTTCTCAGTAATTTTGTAGCTAAAAAAAAAAAGAAAACACAGAATTATTATTATTATTTTTATTTTTTTTTTTATTTTGGGGGATGCATTTGGTCCGGAAAGACTGGCGGCGAATTTTGAGGTTTTGCTGATTGTCTAAAGTCACGACTTTGATAGCACTATATGCTTTCCCCATAAGTAATATAATTTTACGTGGATTTCTCAAACTAGCTGTAATGTTTTAGTTGGTTTTAAACTATTTTTATTTAAATAAAACTTTCAGCCTTTCCACTCTGGTGAAGAAGGAAGACCAGCGAAGCTGTACTATGGTGGGAATGAAGTAATGGCCGACCGCAAGTCAGCAAGCCAGCGTGGAAAGGCTGGAAAAGTTGCCGCTATCTATGATCGACTGCGGCAACCAGACAACCGGCAAGACGGTTGTCTGGTTACCGCCGCCGCTCATAGATGGCGGCAGCTGTCCAGAGTTCGTGTCACCATTTGTTTGCTGGCGGACACGATCCTGGGGGAAACTAGCTCTTAACAGCTCCACTGTAAAATGCTGCATTTAGCACCAGTGATGATAGTTTTCCAACCTCGGATTGCCATGGTTCTTCGCGCGTTTGAAATTAGATGATAAGCAACAAATTATATTAGAGTTTTGAAAAACTATTAGTAAATATCTTAATCGCATTATTATTATTACAAATTGCCGTAACATAAAGCCCAATAAACACCACAATCACAAAAATATGCCACTTAACCATAATCTTTACAGAAAGGTGTCATTTCGTTTTCTTTTTAGCATATGAAAAACTGACATCTCCAGAAACGCTGGATGTAATATATGTATGAAGTCCTATGCGTCACGTGTTGCTATAAAGACACACTCCTGTTGTCGAACTCGAATTCAATTTTAAGGTTTTCGGCGGTTTTTTTTTTTATTTATATGTTTTGTCTACAAGCTCATCACCCGTGGCAATATTTTACAAAATTTGTATTTATTTTGTTATTCTTGTGCTGGGGAATAATGTTAAAGCGATTAATCATTTAAATGCCCCAAAACCGATTAAAGGGCAGCAAGTGAGAAAAGGCAGCAAGAACACACAAATATCAGCGCTGATTTTTCAAAAAATACCATATTCTGTTATCTCTGAGGTGTATGGAAGTTAAAGATACACTGAACTCTCCAACATATATTTATGTTCCTGGATTTTCACGAAATAAAGTTTCCGCGAACAATTTTGTTAGGGCAATAATTACGCTGCGAGGCACATATTGAGTTAGGGGAGAAACCGAAATTAACACCCGCATCGAGAAATTAAATCCAAAATAGAAGTTAGTTTCGTTTTTTTTTTCCTGAATTAAAAAGTGCCTCCCGGCGTAAACATTACGGTAAAGACCATTTTTGCTTTCAGAGTACAAAGGTGACCTTCGCGCATAACACCCTAGCGTCCTGGTATAAGCGGGAACAATTTGTGTCTCTCAGTGAAGCCAGCACACAAGACAGGGCTCAGCAACTGGCATATACCAGCACACATCTCCGGCCCTCACTACACCCGCCATTTTGAAAAACGAATGGCGCCACCTATAAACAGTTGGAGTCGCGAATAGAGACGTTTATTGCAACGGACATTTTGCTATACACACACCGGCGAAAAAAGCGTACATCTTCGCACCGCCACCACATGCCGTGCCGTTGCTTGGAAGCATTGAAAAATAATTTTCTTCTCTTGAAATACGCAAGGAAAACAATATCATTGTAAGACATTCGTGGAGATGGGCATGCTTGTTGGGTTGATTGCATACGCAGTGTCAAATACGCTTATTGTGGCGAGGAACGCCTTCAGTACATCGATGCTCGATTGCGATCTTGGTGCGACTGGTTTAGAACGACCTTCTCGAAGCTTCGGAGATATGAAGGGGCTGAAATGGCGATTGCCATGGCAACGGACACCGATCAGCGAATCACCTTGCGAGGTTTTGGTCGTCTGTATGTTAGTATACGTTTTTGCCCGGCTAGCTAACCGGCAGGGAAGGCAATGGCGTTACTTTCCTAGGATTCAGTGACTTTAAGTGAGATCGGTTTATTGAAGCACCAAACTACATTGTCTAAACCAGTCTTACGATCCTCTGACTAGCGTCCCATCTGTGCAAGCCCATCACGCATGCAGCCCACGGTAACTTTAACGAAAGGTTACAATCGAACGTGCTGATACACACGAGTAGATACACTCGAAAGCGGCCGGAACAGAAAACTTACCGAATCAATACGAAAAATTTTAACTCTATTGTCGCGGAAAGTTGCACCCGGAGGGTAAGTGACCGACCACCTACCTAAAGGAGATGTTGAGGTGGAGACGGTTCTTCAAGTCCAGCAAGAAGTCGAGCACTTCGGGCGTGGCCGCGTACACGTAGAAGTAGAACTGTCGGACTCCCAGGACGCCGTAGTAAGCCACAAACTCGGCGACGGCTCGGACGTCGCTCCAGGTCGCGCCTGAGGGCGACACGCAGAGTCCAACAGAGAAAGGCACCTTGCGCACGTTCCAGCGCAGGCGACGCAGGGTGAAATAGACGACCGGGTCGCTGTTGTAGTAGACGAGCGACGTCAGGTCGGGCAGCGGCTCGATGCCTTGTAAGGGACAGGTCACCAGGACGGACTCCATGTTCTCGTTGCCGAGTTCGCCCAGAACGTTCCAGGAGGCTTGAGAGGTCTCCAGTGAAGTCTTGTTCCTGCGCAGCATTCGGTAATGTGCAAATCACCAATCAAAATGTCATACATGTCAGACGTATGGTTTGGATCTTGATCTCCAGGCGCGGAGGCGTTGTTTCCTGCGTAACTTCACACTAAAAAGTCGACACGGAACAAAAGCCAGAGTTGAGTGACTGTTTCCAGGCAACTCTGGATCCAGAGCAGATGTAAGTGAAGTAACATCATGCGTAGAAGTCGGAATTTTCATGAACGTCATAGCTCGCTATAACGTTCTGAGTCAATTTTTGTTTGCACACTAAATATACAGGGTGTCTTTTTTTATTATTATTCTTTCAGATTTGTTTAAAAAAAGCCGTGAGAGCTACCCTTTTGCGGTTTGTGCAGGTGGGTCACACGGCCAGGTGGACATTATGTGGGCGGCTAATCTTTGCGATCAGTCGGCTAATTAATTAAAATTCGTTCATTAACTTTTAATTAGTGAAAAAATACTTATGGTTCCAATTAGAAACTTGTAGAGCATTATCGAAAACTACCAAATCAACTTTTTTTAGATGGATATAACGCCGGGGCAGGATTTTACGGCGTTCTGTATAAACGCCCCATTTGGACGCGTTTCTAGATTTCGGTTTCTTATCGGAGCACATCTTTGCGCCCGCTGTCCTGCTCCCCGGTGGTCGCGGCATAGAGTAATATAGTAAACGTAAAGAGAGGACACAGGAGCCGATTCGCGGCCCAGATAGTGCCTTTCATACCCTCCGCTACGTGGCGCTTTTCTACAATTTGGTTAAAAGTAATTGAAACTCTTTCTGTGAAAAGTATTTATTTTTTAAATGGCAATGCTTTAAAATTGTTTAAAGTACTTAATAGACTAAATCAAATACGTCACAAAAACCACGTGATGAATGGCGCCTTCCATGGCCTGCCTGCATGCACGCCGTCGCCTCTGCAACATTCTGCATGGCCTCTGCTCGTCCCTGCGTCGTTCGTCTGTGCCGTGCGTGCCGTCCATCTGTGCTTTCTGCTGCATCATGTTCGGTCGACTTTGCATCAATCAAGGTGACGCGTGACCGCCCGCGTGCTCGCATGCTCGGCGTGAAGTCGTGGAGCCGATCGGTTTGAGCTTCTTGTGCTGTTGTTTCTGCCGGGCTGTCTGGCTGCACTTGAAGGTGTGTGCATGTTGATTTTCGATGAGATTGTTTTAAAAAAAGAATTTAACTTACGACCTTGCACACGACATTGTCCATGGGTTTACAGATGACGGTGTTGAACGAACTTCTAACATTGCAGATAGAGCCTTGGTTGTTATGCTGCAGTCTGAAATTTCCAGGAGGTGCGTTTGCACACACTGTTGAGCACACTCCAACAACGCCTTCTGTTTAACGCAGTCTCCTCATTTCTCTCATTCGGGAGCTTAAAGGGGCGGTGCAATGATATTAAATTGGAATGTTTTTCACTTTACACGAGCTTACTGGCACTAGTGGGACTCAAGGATACTCGCACGCAACGCCACTGACCAAGAAACTCCTCTGTTCCGTTGTAATTTTGAAAACAAAACCCAGTGTTTTTATTCAATCTCTCCTTCGAAAAACCTGATGACATAGCTGGACGGTAGCAGTACCGCCCAGTGACGATATTTGAATACGGCTCATAGATTGGACCCAAGCTTGGCGTGGACACTCGATTTGGGCTCGTGATAATCGATAGCTCGAGAAACATTCGGGTAGTGTCCTGTGTCAAATCGCTGCAATGACGACAATGTCTGGAACTCAGCGCGTGTCCTGTGCCTTGCCAACCCTAGCGCATGACTATGATCAACATTGGCGGCATATAATCGGCTCCAGATCACGGAGCCGCTTGTTCTGGCTGCGAATTGAGGGGGTGAACTCTGCTCGTTTTCCTTTATTTTTTTCTGCGACTTCGATTGCGTGTGGTGAAAAGGAACGGGTGTATTTTACGGATCATTAACGTCAGGGATTCGTTCTAAGCGGTATTTGCGCAAAATACAAATATCAGTGCATCGCCCCTTTAAGACTGTTGGCTTCACAGTAAAGGCTGTGGTCTGTGGTTAGGGGGCTTCAAACGTAAGCTTGGTGTGTGTGGTGATAAGCCATTTTTTGAAGTTGACAACGAACACGTTTACTTTGTCTTTAACGTTCCGCACCTTCCCAAAACAACCAAGAGCCATCTCCAAGCCCACAAACCTTGTATTGGAAATGAGGTCATTGAGCGGTCTTCTATTGTTGAACTTCATTATTATATCCATGAGATTAGCTTCAATTGACTCCGAAACTTACTGAGAGACACATTTATTCAAAAACCTTTCTGTAACATGGAAGAAAATTGTGCCCCACAGGTACTGAGTGCCTCAATCTTTCTTGTAATCACATCTCTTGTTTATGCAAAGGAACTTCCTGAGGCAGCCATGGCTACAGCCTATTTCTGTGATAGGATGTGCATACTTTTTGATTGTCTAAATAGCTAAAAAATTCAAGAAGACAGGGCAGAAGTTGCGTCATGCCATTCTGAAGGGAGAACCTCAAATACTTGATTTTCTCCACCAGTAACTCGGATGGATTTCAGCATGGCAGTTCCAAAGTAGGAGGCAGCCATAAGACATCATTGGGTGGCAAGTTACTATAAAAAGTGTCCTCATGCACTGGGATGAGCTTTCAAGCAGCCATGACTTTAAGTTCTTACTTACACGACGCCTGCAGCAAGACACACTTGAGAATGTTTCTGGAGCTATATACGACAAATGCTGGGCTGCAACACAAACCCAAATGTGCATCAGTTCACCTCAGGACTAAAACACCTCTGGATAAAGAAACTGTTCAAACTGTCGGACAATGAAAACGTAGAAGATGACATGGCTGACCTCCTAAAGGAGTTGCAAATATCTTCGCACCATGAAAGTTTAATTTCAGACATTGTGGAATGTCTTCCAATTGATAACTTCCAGCCACTAGAGGATATTTCTGAGCTGGCATCAGACACCAGGTCTAATTGATGACTCGTCCACGTTTTTATTACGTTTGGGGCTATTTGATCAAGCTTTTGCTTGAATAGACAACTTACAGCTGTGGCTGTTCTCAGCTGCTATCGGATGAGTCTAATAACTTGACCAGGCCTCACCAGTACTGTCTTGTTCCTAAAGCATACCACGTGCCTTGAAAATTCTTCGGGAACTTAGTAGTACCATCACAGGCTGCCTTTCATTTCATTCAGCAACTAGAAAATCACTTTCTTCCCATAATAGAGAGTGTGACACATGTTCGAGGAGTGTGTGCCGCCTTGTATAGCACACTTTGAGGTCTGGGTGGTTTTCGCCTTTGCCCAGAGGAGTACCACAAAGGGTTTTTAAAATTGTTTTGCAGAATACGCTTGTGTTGACATGTTTGATTTCTTAACCGGAATTCGGACAAAGTTCGGTTGCACTCTTCAGTGGCTAGTAAGAACGAGACAGGTTTAACTGTTAATAGCGTATTAACAGAGGCGGTTGCCAAACCAAAAACAAAAAGTGATTAAGTGGGCGGTGCAGCTTGCTCTCCAAATATTTTTCCCCTTTTTCCAGCGAATGTGTATCGCGGCTCCCTAACAAAAATATGTGTCCACTTTCTAAGAAAATTCGATAGAGAATAGCGTATAGAGGCTAACAATATCTGAAAGAAAACGTATTCACTTTTGTATCCACTGTCCATAGTTTTTTAGCCGCTTTTTTCTGAAGCCATGTTTCTTTTCTGAGCAATTTCGGGGAATATTTAGAGACGTTGAATCTTGTCAGATTTCGAATAGAGTTCTCATTGTTTGGTAATGGCTCGCCCGCAGTGAGTTTGAGGCTATGCAAATTGGTGTTTTTTTTTTTATATTTGCCGGAAATCGGGAATTTGTACTATCCGGCGTATGCTTCGCACTGTTATTATACTCTTATGACTGGTAATGATAGCGATGTCTTATTTATTTTTTCACTTACTTCCCGTACCCGAGTCGGCGTGAAAGTGAATGTATCATACAGCATGTTCTCCGTGGAAGGGTTTTGTTAACTTGGTTCCGCTAAGAATCTATTACGAAGTGTACGAATGCCGAAGCCCTTCATATTCATTTATTTTAGTGAGTATCGATCTCTTTCGTATAAAACATACAGAGCTTCTGAAGTCAATCATGTGTTCATGAATGTGGTCCAATAAAATGTGTTCGAACCACTTACTGTTGTGGACCCCAAAATGCTCCACCAGCCAGGAGTCAATGCGGTGATTGTGTAACTTCAATGCTTTACAATATAAAAAGAACAAGAAATATATATACTTCTGCTTTGTGAAGCAAGTTGAAATATTGTTTGACACAGTTTGCACGGACTCTATCGTAAAAAATAAAGCAAAACTGTGTCAGTATTTAAAAAAACAAACAAAAAAAACAGCGGCTTCGGGAGTCAAGGTGCTCCCGAGAGGTGAGCGAGGCGGGGAGGAAAGAGAGAGAGAAGGGTATTGAAGAACCGGAGCAAAAACGCCCAAACCGAAACCGAAACTAACTTGACCGGAAACGGAATCAGATTACACTTAATACCGCCCGCTAGGAGCGCTACCTGTCACTGGTCTATCTGGGCCGCTGGGGCCTATGGCAGTGTCCGCTCTTTACCTTGTGTATATTACTCTATGGTCGCGGCGCGAAGCCACCCCCTCGCCTCCCTCGTAGAATGGAGGGAAGTAGGGCGCGCGTGTGTTGCGCGCGCCCTACTTCCCGTAAAAAAGCACTCATGACGTGTTTCCATCAAAGCTGCGCCGATCTTACCTTCACCCCACGAGCTCCCCGTTAACAACTGCATAAAATTCCTGGATCTCTCCTTAGAGTTTAGGAATAGACATGTATGCTGGAGATATCAGGCACGATCCTGCAAAGGCTTTCTTCCTTTTAGCTCCGAACATACCAAAAATGTGAAAAGAGCAGTTTCGCGACACAAATCTCTAGGCTCCAAGATGCAGGCTACCCTAGAACACTTCTTGTTTCGATTTGTGAAAACACATGT